GAGGTCAGGCTACCAGGGCCAGCACGGGAAGTGGGGGGGGCAGAAAGCCTCTGGACAGCACCCCAGGGCCCAGCCTTGTTGGCCCACTCCAGCCTCACCTATGGGACATAGTCCCTCAGAGAGGCCAAGACAGGCACCTCCCTGCAGGCACCTCTACTGGTCTTTAATTTTCAAATTACAAAAGCCTGACGACAGTTAGGGCCGCTGTGCTTTATCTTCCAGGTCTGTACCTTGACAGCACCTGAGGGTACGGGGGGAGGGCAGTGGGCTTGCAGATCTAGGCCTGGATCTGAGTGCAGGGAGGCCCAGGTCCTCTGTATCCCCCAGCACCCCTTATCCTGGTGGAGCCATCCCCACCTGATGGCTCCACCCAACCCTGCACACCTTGAGGCCTGCCCTGGTCCCCTGGTGGCCTGCTGAGGAGGGATTTGGCTCCAGGCTGTAGGGCCTGCTCACCTTTCCACATCAGTCACTGCTGTGACAAAATGGACTGCCCACTGGTCGTCCACCCAACAACGCTCACACCCGCCCTAACTGCCTTGTCTGGGGTCACCTGGGATGCTTTTCAGTGGGCACACTCCTGATGCTAGGTAGGGGGTTGTGAGCTCTACCACTTTCTCCCCGTGTGACCTGGGCAAGGCACTGCCCTTCTCTGAGCCTCTGGGTAACTATAGTTCCATCCTGGTACCCAGGGCAGCAGTGAGACTGACTGATGACAGGTGTGTGGGGTGTCCAGTCTGTGTGTACAGCCGGGCTCACCTCTTCTCTGTGCCATCCACAAGGGTCCCTGTACCCTCACCTAGGTTTTCAGCTTGCCCCCAGAGGTGCCCGGCACAAGGGGAAAGCGTTAACTCCCTATAGCCCTCCAGAGCATGGTTTCTTCCTGTCCCTGGAGTTGGCAGTACTCACCTCCGGCCTCAGGAAATCCTCTCCTGCTGCTGCTGCCACTCCCAGAGCCAACCATCAGCTGACCCATCGAGCCCCCTTCTCAGTTTTTGCTGGGAGGCTGAAGCACAGGAGCAGCCTGGGCTACATGCCGTAACATTGTGCAGGCACTCAGCCTTTAATCTGCTCTTTCACTTTGTTATAAGCATTTTCCTGCATTATTTCAGTCTTTGGAGGTGGCCATCTTAGTAGCTGTGAAGAGTCCCATTGAGGAGCTGTGGTTTGTCTGACTGGTCCCCTGGAGGTGACATTTACACTGTGCCTCCCCCGCCCCATTTGCTGTTGCTGTTGCTGGGGCTGCGATGGGCATTGTTAAGCATTAAGCGAGAAAGGGTTCTTTTGTGCACTGGGTCCGTTGAAGGTTAAGACAGCCCAGAGGGCAGGAGCTCTGTCCCAGGCTTTCTCCCCGCTTAGGTAGGGTCCAGTCTAAGCAGCCCACCCCCAGGAGATACTTCAGTGTCCCCATGTGCTGGGCCTGCCCTGTTGCCTGTACAAACAGCTATTCAGGCCCTCAGGGATTGGTGACATCCCGTCCAGCCTCTGAGCTCATCTTCAGCCTAGCTGGAGGTGCCAGGCCACGCCTGAGGTGACAGACAGCTGTTGGGGGGAGCACCCTGTTGGCGCCTGTGCTGCACACCTGCTGCCATCTCCACGGTCCAGCAGCTCTCCCTCCCCGCTCCTCTCGCTGGTGCTTATGTCTTAACCACCCCATTCCTGAGATGGGGGGGTAGTGGTGGCAGCCTCAGATTTCCTCACCCTGGCCAGCCCTTCCCACCAGTGCTACCTTTGAGGTCCCATCCAATTAACAAGTATTTTCCAGACCCCCTCCTTACTAGCAGAGCTAAGCTTCAGTGGGTTGGGATGGGCTGGGCTGAGCTGGGCCCCTGTGCTGAGTTCGTGTTGCTGTGGGGGTTGCTTCTATCTCTGCTGCCTGTCCTCTTGGAGTCTGAGTGTGTCAGGGGCCTTTGGATTTCTATTGTCTGTCTATTCCCATCCTGCTGCAGAGTAGTCAGGGTGGGCTGAGGTCTAGCAGCCCCACCATCCATGTCTTCGCCACCAGCCCTGTCCCTTCTGTGCTTGGGAGTGTGTGGAATGGGCCAAGGGCTGGTAATCTGGGTCTCAGTCTGTTCATCCATAAAATGGTGCTAATGGTGGAGGCTGTTCTACAGGACTGCTGTGGCGTGAAGTAAGTGTGTGGTCATAAGGCCTATGGCATGGAGCTGGGCACGGAGGCTGTGCGAGGCACCTGGGGCTGCATCCTTGTTAGTGTCCTTGGCAGCAGTCTTAGGACCAGGGAGGTCAGACTGGAGGTGGGGAGAGCTTTTGCCCCTCGTATACCCTACCCAGAGCTTGCCCACTGGGCATTCCCACCTCCTACACTAGCCTAGGAGAGGGCATCCTTCCACCTATGCCCTCTCCAACACAGTGGGGTGTAGATCCTGGGGCCTTGTTTCCAGAGCGGAAATGCCATTCTGGGAGCCACAGGCTTGGGGGGGGGGAGGGAGTTAAGTGGAAAAGGAGCAAATTTTTGAAATGCCTGTGCCTGAGCCTGGTTCCCCTTCCCCCACCTCCAGCCCACACCAGCAGCCCCACCCCCAGTACAGCTCTAATCCTGCTCCTGGGAGAGGTGAGTCTCCTATTCCCCAAGATCCATCCAGCCATATCCTATCTGCCTCCCCCATATTCTTCTCAGGCTAGCTAGGAGGAGCCAGCTCTCTGGAGGACCAGGTCTTTTGTGTCCCTAACTGTCCCTGTAGAGACCTCCTGCCTGCTCTGAGCCCTGGTCCCCACCCAACCCACCCCACAACAGTGGAAACCCAGGGGCAACCTGAGGACTCCTCAGCCCCAGCACAGCCCCCACTACAGTCATGTGTGGTCCGGCTGGCTCAGACTTGCTCCCTGGGTACCTGGGGTGCTAGCCACGCTGAAGTGGCTGATTGAGGTTGGGATGTAGGAAGGGCTTGGGCACAGCTCTCAGAAACAAGCAGGAGGGACGCCCCAGGCAGTGCTGCCTTGAGAGCAGGCTCCTCTTCTGTGGGGAAGAAGGCTGTTAGGAGGGTGATGAGCAGGGCCAGACTTGGGGAAGGCAAAGGATGCTGGTTAGTTGCCCTCTCCTCTTTGAGGACTTTGGGTATTGTGTCCTGTCCCACTGTTTCTCAACCCCATACTGAGTTCTGGCCAGTGATTCCCAAGCCAGAAGCTTAGGAGCTTGGGGAAGTGCAGATGTTGGTTCTTCTGGAGGGGTGGGACCCAGGAATCTGGGTTTTGTGTTTTTCTGGCTTTTCTGAGAAGGTGGAGTACAGTGGTGGAATCATAGCTCACTGTTATTCCCGAGTTTTGGGCTGAAGTGATCCTCCCACCTTGACTTCCCAAAATGCTGGGATTACAGATGTGAGCCAGGAAATCTGTTTTTCTTTTAACAAGTTCTCCAGAGGACCTGTAAGCACCCAGACTTGGCCTGCCTTCCTCTTACTTTTTTTTTTTTTTTTTTTTTTTAGAGAAAGAGTCTCACTTTATCGCCCCCAGTAGAGTGCCGTGGCATCACACAGCTCACAGCAACCTCCAACTCCTGGGCTTAGGTGATTCTCTTGCCTCAGCCTCCTGAGTAGCTGGAACCACAACGCCTGGCTATTTTTTTTGTTGCAGTTTGGCCGGGGCTGGGTTTGAACCCGCCACCCTCAGTATATGGGGCCAGCGCCCTACTCACTGAGCCACAGGTGCCACCCTTCATTTTACTTTTGAGAAAAGACTCCAGAGGGGGAGAGGAACCTGCCTAAGGAGGCACATCTGGCCAGGGTCTGAGTCCACTGAGCCCTGGTGGCAGGCAGGGTCATCTGTAGGTCCCCTTGGACTTGTGTGCATTATTTAGGCCAGGCCTGCTGGGTGAAGCTGGGTCTCCGGGGCCTGCTTCCCTGGCACCATGAACTGCCTGGTAGCATCCCTGTGTCCACCCATAGCCCAGGATTGTGGGCTGTTGGGGATCCTGTCTGGTTCCATCCTAGAGCTCCCTGCAGATTGCTCAGGGACTTGGTACTCTGTTCTGCTGCATTGGGTGAATCACTGACCTACAGCCTAGCAAGGGGCCACTCAGGGAGAGCCAAGGCTGGCTCTATTCGCTTTACTGTGGTGGTTCTTCCTTCTCTCTCTCTTCATTCTGGGGACACTGTCCTGTTGATCACATTGCTGAAACAGACAAGATGGAGCAGGATCAGGAGGGTACAGAGCACAGGTGTACCCTGAACACGGTGGACTAAGGAATGGGGGGCAGACCAGCTGAGTCCCCCAAAGTCAGTGCACTGCAAGGTGAGGAGTTGCTGGGTCAGACTGAAGCTTGCCAACCTTCCTGCTCTGGGTCTTCCTTTCCTGGAGACTTCAAATAGCAGGTCTGTCCTGCAGTCAGAGCCGTCCCAGTGATTAAGGTAGATCCTCTGTAAGTTGACCACCCAGGGGGCTAAACAAACTGGTCAACGTAAGGCCCTAGGCCTACTGTACAGATACGTACATGTGGTGCATGTCCAGTCTATGAAAAGTAGGTCAGCTTAAGGAGGTGGTCATGTAGGGAGGTTCTACTGTATTTTCCCCGTAAGCTGGGGCACACCCCCTCCCCTTTCCCTCTAGGTTCAGATCTGAGTCCAACGGGCCCAACACGTTAAATGGCCTGGGGCTAGAGGGCAGGGAATACAGCAGTGAGGGTCGCAGCGTGTCCAGCGTGCTTCGAAGGAGGGGACAATCCCGGCAGTCTTCCCAGCAGTGGAGGCGTTTCCGTGGGCTTTTGAAGCCAGCTGCGTTCTCACCCGCGCAGGAAGGCGGGGACATGCTTTTAGGAAGAGGGATATCCCGCGCTGTAGGCAAGAAGTCTGGCAAGGGCTCGAGCCGGGAGGCCGGGGTGGGAGGGCGGTCCCACAGCGCCTGTCCGCGCGCTCCCGAGCCACCCGCGCTGGCGGCTCATTTGCATGGGCAGCCTCAGTGGCCAATGGGTGAGCGCGGTTGGGCATGCCGGGAGCCGGGCTGGGCCGGCCGGGCCGCGGCTCAGCGGGCGGAGCGAAGTGGGACCGGCTCTGGGCGGCGGAGGCGGCGGCGGAGCTGCGGGAGTGGGACCGGGCGGCGGAGACGCTCTCGGAGCCTCGAGGGCTCGCGGCCCGGGCAGCTCCGTGTGTGACCCTACGGGGAGCCGGGCCCCCAGGCCGGCCGGACACTATGAACTACCTGGTGAGTACGGCAGGCGCTGCCCGGGGTCTGCTCGCGGCGGCCGTGCGGTTCTCCTGGACTGGCTTCGAGGCAACCGCCCTACGGGTTCCCGGGGCGGGCCGGGCGGGAAGGAGTTAAGCGAGTGGCATTTCCTGCCGGACCTGCGGGTCCTGGGAACCGCCGGAGTCTCTGCGGGGGCGCTCCGGGGCCAGGGTCTGTGGTCCTGGGACCTCCTTCCTCCCTCCCTGTCCCCACTTGCGCGCCTCGGGGGCAGTTGTAAGAGCCGAGATCCGGGACCGCTGGTGGGCAGGAAAGTTCCTGTATCCGGGAAAGTTGCTGGCGGGAGGCCCGCTCTCCCCTGCCTGCTGCCGCCTGCCGTGTGACCTTGAGCCTCGGTGTCCTGACAAGTCTCAGTTTCCCGGGCAGTGAGGAAGAACGGGGGTCCCTGGAGGCCGTGACGGTGAGCTTCCAGGAGGGATGGTGGTCCGACAGTTTTGGAGTGGGGGCTGTCCACGGCTCCCGTGCTAGAGGTTGAGGTCCGGGCGAGCAAGTACGTGGCGGTTAGTCGGTGCGACCGGAGGGCCCGTCCGAGGTCGGTTAATGATTCACCCGGGCCGCCGGCACTGGATTCCGGGAGCAGCAGGGGCGGGTGCTCCTCTGACTTTACCTGCCAGTCTTGCCAAACGGCTGTAGGAGCCGGATCCTGGCGGCCACAGTCCAGGGCTGCACTCACCCCACCGCTTGGCACGTGGAGAGTCAAGGGAGGGGCCAGGGTCCGCTTGGTTCTGTAGCGAAGACATGGGGGCTTTGAGATCCACTGTTGCGGGGGTCCCTGGCGACAATTCCCGCAGAGCTAGGTAGTGCGTGTCTGCCGCTCCGGTGTCCACAGCCTTGGGGCTCCTTCTGGAGTCTGGGAAGCCCAGATTTGCTGAGAGCTTTGGGGAGGGATCAGGACAAGATTGTGGGAGTAGGGGGCATTTGGGGGCTGTGAGTTCCAAATTGGGGACAGCATCTCCTTTTCCTAACCGCAAGACTCCAATACCGACCACTTGGTTTCTCTCCCCACACCTCTGCTGTGTAGAAGGGTCTGACTTGGCAGGTGCTCCCAGACTTGCTGTAGCTTTAAAAGTCATTTTCTCAGAATGAACTTGGGTCAGTCTCTTCTTTGCTGAATTTGGCCAGGTGAGATGTTTCTCATTGCCCAGGGCTAGGGCACACATCTTCCTGTGCCCATTCCTTTCCACTGGTGGAGAGCTGGGTCCAGGAGGACAGCTGGCCTGTTAGGTGCGGGGGTGCCTGGGGGGCATCTGGACTGGGCACTGGTGGAGCCTGTGGGGAGAGGAGCAGTGGGGAGGAGCTGCTGCCTCTCTCCTGGCACTAGCACCCACCACCCTCTGGCCCTGGGCAAGGAAGGAACCCAGTGGGAGCTAGGTGGGGGCAGGGCAGTCCCAGGTTCTGCCTGGAAAGTTACCTTGGGTTGAAAGGAGGAGGACTGGAGACTCTGGCTAATGTTTGTGCTGAGCCCTGTGGGCTGGTACTGTTGCCCAGGTCTGCACCATTAGGGCATCTCATCTGCACAGGAGAGGCTCCTGGGACAGCTGTTCTCCCCTGTTAGTTACATGAGTGATAAATATGGGGAGACTGAGGCACAGAGAAGGTCAGTCAGTTGTCCTCACAAAACTGGATCCAGAACCTAGCCTCCTGTCATGGCCCCATGTACTGCACCACATGTGCCCACCACCTGGGATTGGGGGAGCTCTGGTCCTGAAGGGGCTGCCATGCTCTGCTGGGGCTGCCAACTTGGTAGAGCCCCTCTGGCTCCAGGACTGTGCCTTTGTGGCCTCCTCTGGACATCCATTGTTCTTCTAGGAGATGTCACCACCCAGTTCTCTTGGGCATGAACAACTCCCTCCCCTTCCCCCAGGAGCCCACAGCCAGCTGGGGCAGGCAGAACCAACCAGCAGGGGAGGTGTGCTTTCTGGAGGCTTGTTGGAAGAGGTGATGTTGGAGTCCGTAGAGAGTGGTATGGGTGACAGGGTGACAGTAAGATCACTACCTGGCTCTAGGGCCTCCAGATAAAGGCTGCAGGTTGGTCTCCCTCTGTGGTTGGGATTCTGCCCTCCATTAGGCCCTTTCTGACTCTCTGAGCACTGAGGAGAGCCCTGGCTTCATTCTTTATCCTGCCCTGGGCAAGTCCTCACTTTAGGCCTCATCTCTGCTGGTGCATCTCAGAAATTAGTGGTTTGGTACTTTATTTATTTATTTGTTTATTTCTCTCTGTCACCCTGGGTCAAGTGCCATGGCATCATCATAGCTCACAGCAACCTCAAACTATTGGGCTCAATCTCTTGCTTCAGTCTTTCTTTCTTTTTTTTGGAGCCTCAAACCGTGGCCTTGGATAGAGTGCTGTGGTGTCACAGCTCACAGCAACCCCCAACTCCTGGGCTTAAGCAATTCTCCTGCCTCAACCTCCCAAGTAGCTGGGACTACAGGCGTCCACTACAGCGCCCAGCTATTTTTTGGTTGCAGCCGTCATTGTTGTTTGGCAGGCACAGGCTGGATTCGCACCCGCTAGCTCTGGTGTATGTGGCTGGCGCCTTAGCAGCTTGAGCTACAGGCACCAAGCCAAGATTTTATATTTTTACTAGAGACAGGGTCTCGATCTTGCGCAGGCTAGATTTGCTACTTTTTTTAAAGGTGCAAACTTCACTTTGGGGGACATTATGTCCCCCTCTGTCCTTGCATACGCAGATAGTGCTGTGGTAAGGGCTGCTGAAAATTACTTTCTAGGATTGAAGACAGGCAGAGCTGCAGAGAGCTTTAGATGTCAAGATGGAGAAACCAAGGCCTTGTAAGGAGTGACATCCCTGCTGTCCATTCTGCCTCAGGTCCCTTCCGTGATGACATTGCTGGGGCTGGAGGGTGGGATTTGCTCCTCTACTGAGTGGCTGGTGCTTTCTCTCATATAACAGGTTGGCCTCACACTAAGTGCCCTGCTGACACACCTGATCATAGAATGAACTTGCCAATCCACTCCTGTGAGTCCTGCCTGCAGGGATCCAAGGCCAGGGAAAGAGCAGAATGTAGTTAGGGGTGCATGCCCAGGGTCTGCCAGCATGTCCCCACATCCAGGGTGTGCTTGGGACTTCAGATGCCATGTCCTGCCACAGGAGGGCTCTCCTAGCACCCGCCCCTCTAATCTCCCTGGTACAGTCTGGGGTGTCTTGGCAGACGTTGGGACAGAGACATTCATTCTTCCAGCCCATAGCTGGCCCTCAACACAAAGGCATCTGCTATTTCTCCGTAGCCAAGATCGGGCTGTGGCTCTGCTTATGCAGGGGAGCCCTTGCAGTGGCTGCCCCATAGGTGGCTTTTTTTTTTAGACAGAGTCTTGCTCTGTCACCTGAGCTGGAGTGCAGTGGAGTGCAGTTGTACCTCACAGCAGCCTCTAATACCTGGGCTCAAGCAATCTTCCTACCTTAGCCTCCTGAGTAGCTGGGACTACAGGCACAGCTAATTTTCTAAATTTTTTTTTTTTTTGTGGGAATGGGGTCTTGCTTTTGCTCAGGATGGTCTTGAACTCCTGGTCTTAAGCAAAATTCCCACCTTGGTCTCTCAGAGGGCTGGGATTATAGGTGTTAGCCACCGCATTTGGCCCATAGCCCTTTCCTCTGGCAGCTCAAGCGTGGGCCTGAGGACTTGCATACCTTTGTCCTCTCTGAGGCCTCATATGCTCCTGAAAGAGGGACAGGAGCTATGTTCCCAGGGTGGCTGTGGAACATGAGGCCTACACACAGGCTGTGTGGTCCACTCACCCTGCCAACCAAACACTAAGAACTTGAGCCAGACCCTGGCTGTACAGTTGTCTCTGGGAGTATTAGAGGAAGCTGCTGCTAGGCCTGGCTGGTCCTGGAGTTCCACCCAGGATGGGGCATCAAGAGATTTGAGCAGGAAAAGGAAGAGTTGAATGCAGGATAGGTGGGATGGTTAGGGTCCTCAGCACCCCACCCGTGCCCCAGTCCAGCAGGTCTGTGAGTGCAGACTGACAGTTGGTTACACACTTGCTGGGCCTGCGTCCAGTGGCCACAAGGAGCTCTTTGAGACAAGCAAACAGGATACCCCAGAAATAAATTTGGCCCACATTCTGCATATGAAGAGAGCCAGTATTTCCCAAGGGCCTGTTGTGTTAGGCTGTGTGTTGGGGAGTTGGGGAGGAAGCCCTGTGGAATTTCTACTCCTGGCTTCCATGAACCTGGGCATCCATCACCCAAGGAGCCACGCAGCTTCACTTTGTCTCTTAGCCTGGATCTGTCTCTGCTGCTCCCTGATCTGTGACCCTGGGCTGTTCTGAGCCTCAGTCTCCTCATCTGTAAGGTGTAGGGTCCTTTTGAGGGTTAATTGAGCCAATGGCTGTACACAAATAAGACACTGTCTTATATTTATTTTTTCTCAAGAAGACACACTAGGGCTTATTTTCAGGGGATGTCTTATTTTTTATTAAGTATAATACAACAATCTACGTGTATTCAAATACAGTTAAGTCATCTTCTTCTGGAACCTGACAGGGGGAAGCCGACCTTGTTGGTGGAGCTAGTGCTAGTGATATGTGAACTCCTTTCCCTAGCCTCGTACATGCGCAATAGGATGCCTGTGTGCGCAAGTGCGAATGGCTTGGAGAAAGGAGCTGTGGCAGATAAAAGGTATTCTAGTCTTCCTTACTGCTCCTCACCGAAATGCATGCGTATCTGCATAGCCACGCCCATCACTAGGTCTTATTGGGGTAGGGCTTATATTTAACAAATGCATAGAAATCCTGCTAGGGCTTATTTTTTGGGTAGGTCTTATTTTGGGGGAAACCTGGTAGTGACCAGGATGTTGCTATTACTCGTTTCCTTGTTTCCCATCCTAGGTACTTGGGCAGAGACCAGCAGTCCACCATGGGCCGTCTTGTGGGTATTGAGAACACTTTTGGCGTTTGAAAGAGTACAGGGCAGACGTGGTGCCAGACCTGGCAGAGGAGT